AGCCTTAGTTCTTCCCGTGGCTACTGCTACAGTTGAGATATCATTTTCTGCGCTAACTTACGTAAAAAATCATCTGCACAATCGAATTGGAGATCAATGATTGGATGATAGTTTGATTGCATATATTGAGAAAGACGTATTTGACGAGATGGGAAATGATGTAATTATGGAATGTTATCAAATTATGAAAACACGTAGAGAACAATTGTGATAAAATATCTCTTAGTTTAATTTTTTCATCACTTTTTGAAATTGTAATTGTGCCCCCCCCAACGTTTTTCGTCTGCGTCCACCCCTGATCAAATCTAAAGAAAACGTAGCTAAATCCCATACATGGAAAGAGGCCTTCGAAGTACTTGTAATAAGCTAGAATTCTAATGGCACATTGAAAAGATGAATCCAAATCCCTATGGTGGATGCCACCCCTTCTATTACTGACCCGAAAAACCCTCCTGTAACGCTCTCGACCGATGTACAGCTCAGCTATAAGAGTAAAGCCCATGTCCACCTCTATATACCAGTCAACCCCCCCAAAGACACCAAGCTGCCACTCATTATCTACTTACATGGAGGTGATTTTGTGTTGTTTAGTACATTGACTGTCATTTTTCATAACTATTGTAATAATATCGCCTCACAGTTCCCCGCAGTGGTGGTATCTGTCGAGTGCTGGCTGGCCCCCGAAAACTGCCTTTCAACAGCTTCTGATGATGCCATGAATGCCATCTTTTGGATTAAGAACTAGACTATGCTAAATTTTCGAGAGTTTTTCTATTGGGCAGTAGTGCGGTGGGAACATAGTTTACCACACGATCCTACGTGCACTAGATTTAGATTTTCGACCAATAAAAATTTGTGGAATTCTATTAAATCAACCTTTCTTTGGTGGAGTTCTTAGGATTCAATTAGAGATTAGACTTATGGAGAATCCTTATGTTCCTTTGTACATGTGTGATGTGTTGTGGACATTAGCATTGCCACCGTACGCTAATCAAGATCACGAATTTTGTAACCCCATATCTAGTGGATCTTACAGCGGAAGGTTCCACGTCTACCAAGGGTTTTTGTAAAAGCTGACGAAGGTGACCCCTTGGTCGACTGAACAACCCAGTTAGTACAGTTGTCATGAAATACAGAGTACCTGTGGTCTATCAATATAATCGTGGTGGTTTTCATGATATCAAGCTTCAAAACAAGACTGCTGCTCAAAGTTTGTACGATGATATGAAGCGTTTTGTCTACTCTACTAGGGTATTGAAGATGAAGAATCTTAGAGGTGTCAATTCGGGTGGTTTGAGCCGGGTTGGCCAGCAAACATATGTGCCCACGTGAAAAAAGCCCGCCCGCTATGGGTTTCGGGCCGGGCCACAAATTTCAGGATGGTCCAAGCCGGGTCGCGGCTTGTTCCGATTTGATCCCTATTATTGTATAAATAAAATTATAAAAATATAGAATTTTTCATATTTATAGCAAAATATTTTTTTTTTGTTAAATGTAAACTAAGATTTGAACAAAATGAAAAATTAATATTTATATAAAAAAATGTTTACATAGAATTCAAATGTAANAAATGATAAATTCATATTTATACAAAGAAATGTTTACCTATAATCAAATTTAATGTTACATGAATTATTTATAACTCTACAAAGTTAAATTTAATTTAAACAAATAACAATTAAATGCATTTTTAATTACTATTATCAAATATTTATAGTATAAGTACATCCCAACTAGGTTAGCTCTCTCTGGATATGTAAAAACGGGCTGGAAGGACCGGCCTCGCTAGCAAATGAAGTAGCCCGAGTACAGCCAGGTTAAAATAGAACCGGCCCATGCGGGATTTCCGGGCCATCCCGGGCCAGAGAGGAAGAGCTGACCCGGCCTGAACAGCAAACCCCATGGGTCGGGTACGCCCGTCGGCCCGCTAGGCACTCTCATTTTTTTTAAAAAAATAAATGGTAGAAATAATTATAGTGAAAATCGATAAAAGTTAAATAAAAATAAATTTTACATCAATAATTAAATAACATAAAACTTACAATTTTTCGAACAATATTTTGCCTAACTGACAAATTAAACAGTTTTTAACTATTTATAAACTTATAGTTAAAGTACATCCCACAATATTTTTTCACTTCATAAT